AAAAAAAATGAGAAAAAAACTGACCCCTAGTATGTACCCCCAGTCGGTACGATCCAAATGTAAATAGTTTTCCGCCGACGTTCTCACACATTTCAGGAGGAAGCTAGAGCGCAAGATTTGAGCGACGAAAAAAGAAGAACTTTTGAAAGTATCCCACCTTTGACTCCGAAACCTTGCGAACCCAGATCTTCACAAGTGAATTCAATTTTCGAAGCACTTCGATTCTAGCGTGCATTTCTTCGTCAGTTTCGAATAAATTGAAACTTTTGAGACATTCCACAAGCTAAAGTTGTAATGAGTACAACATATAACCGTATAGATGTTGGGTCCTTGACAGTACACATATAAATAACATACTTATTGGAATTAGGATGATATGAGGTCAAAATCATTGATTGGAAGATTTCCTAGCGATAACTGCATAAAAAATATAATGGGAAAAAAGATAAGCACCTGTGCCGTAAGCCTCAGATCACGTGCATCAGGTAAGGCTTTAGATATCGGTTGACTAACACCCAAACAGGGAGTTTCACGGGCCTCCCCTAGCCCGTTTTCCTTGCTCATCCCTGAAACTACTGCTTTAAAATCAAGACTCCAGTAGGAATCACACATTGATATGTATAGATTAAGATTGTAATTCAGTCAGCCAATGAAAACAAAGCAACTAAAGAATATTTATTTACTTATACCAAAAAATCATATTCTCAGTCAATATAATATGATAACACAGTATGAAATCTACACACAAAGAAGTGACCAGAATAAATGAATGAATTGAAAAAAAGAAGCTTCAAGTAAATTAGAAGACGGTAAAGGCAAGCAATACCCTTTATGAAAAAACATATTTGAGTTGCTAAGCAACGGAGTATATTTGGATACTTGAGAAAATTTGGAAGGGTTCGAAACAGTTGATACCGCAGTAAATTTTTGCAAATCAAAATGAAGCGTTTCCGGCAAAACAAAATAACGCTGTACTAATAAAATGTGAACAAAATTGAGCTGTTACTGCTTACAAAGCTGATGTGCGACAATATTAAGCAGAAATCACCGAAACAAACGATGGACTACAAGGAAGTGCACGTGATATCACCTCTGAATACTTGCCAACGCTAAACTCGGCTTCTAAAAGCTGGAAAAAATTTGGAGCATGTGTTTGGCATAAATGCCGTGATTGCGGCATGACTCGATTTGTGCGTCGAAAATTCCCGAGTGAGCATAGACTACTCTGAAGAAGTGAGTAGCAACAATACTGGATTAGAGGATCCAACAAAAAATAGTGAAAAGCTAGTTTTTACTCATTGTACCCTGTAATGAGAATTTGCTATAGCTATTCGTTAACGGAACATCTC